ATAGTATTAACTAGATGTTCATTATTTATGTTGCACAATAGCCTAATAGAGTGTGTAAGAAAGACTAAGCCTAACTTCATAAAATCTTGTGACATATGCAGAACTCATTATAGGAATTAAAAATGGTCTCCCTTGGCTACTAGATATGTTTCTATTGAGAAAACCCCTATTATTTATTAATCAACAGCAGCCTCCCTTGATGAAATTTAGTGTTTGCTGCTCAGCACAAATGAAATTGTAGCTATTGTCTTGCTTCGCTAATTTAATAGCTACTTCAGAATTGATGACCACAGTCGACACAGTCCAATAGCAGAGGCCAATACAGTGGCCATGCAGAAATAACTTCTTTTAACTACTGGGAAAAGACTCAAGTTATGCTATGCATAACTCATAAAGCAATAATGATAGCATCTCCAGATGAAAATAGGCCAGAATTTGCTGAAAATGCTTTCCCTTCAAATATTCTATTACTGAACCACGTTACAAACTGGGAAAATTTGCCTCTTCAGTACTAACTAATCTTCCTTTATAAATTTTATGTTCAAATATTTGGATATCTTACCTCCCCAAATTCAAATAATGGTCATATTCACTGAACTTCCTTGTATGCATATAGATATTATCCTGTCATTTACAACATTGTATTTCAAGACAGATCTAGAAATGACTTTTCAACTGTGAAAGCAACCCCCTTTTTCCTCACCTTTTCATCTCCAGCATAGTAGAGCATATGATCATCTGACTAAAAATGTCCCATGCCAGTCCATCTCATATCATCAACAGCTCAATATTTATGTATTCCATTTCTTTCTTAACAATATCCAATTTTCCTACATTCATGGTTCTCACATTCCATGTTCCAACCACTAGTGTCTGCTTTCAACTTTTCCTCCTCCTTTGTGCCTCAGTTGCCATATTTGCTACTCTAAGTGTGTTCTGTTGTACATAGGGTTTTCAAAGGCCTGCTATTTCAGAAGTGGATGGACAATCCTTTTTCCTAGACTGTCCACAATCAACACTCTTGGTACCAGCATTCAGGAAATTAAAAGACAAATTGCATTGGGAAAGTCTGCTGTTAAAGACCTCTCCAAAGTACTTAAGAGTAACGATGTCAGTCTGGAGACTAAGGTGTACCTGATCCAGGCCATAGTCTTTGCAATTCCCTGCTATGCATCAAAAAGCTGGACAATGACTAGGGATGATAGGAGGAAAACTGATGCCTTTGAGCTGTGGTGTTGGAGAAGAGTATTGTATATACCATGGACTGCTAGGAGAACAAATAGGTTCATCCTAGAAAGGATGAGAACAGGCTGCTCCATGGAGGCGAGGATTCTGAAGCTTTGTCTGACATACTTTGGACACGTTGCAAGGCAGGACCGGTCTTTGGAGAGGGATGTCATGCTTTGGAGGGTGGAGGAACAACACAAGAAAAAAAGACCCTCAGTGAGATGAATTGATTCAGTGGCTGGGGTAATGGAAGTAGGTGTGTCAGAGACAATAAGATTGGCACAGGATAGAGCAGGGTTTAGGGCTGTTGTACATAGGGTCGCTATGAGTTGCAAGCAACTTGATGGTACATAACTATAACCTCTTCAAATTATTGAGGAGTAATGTCAATATGATTTAGGCTATAGTCTTTCTGGTCACTTGCTGTGCATCTAAGAGCTGGGCAATAAATAAGGATGACAGAAAAAGAATTGATGGAGAAGAGTAGTGAACAGCCCACGGATGGCCAAGAAAATGAATTGATATATCTTGGAGAGGGTGCAGCTGAAGTGCTCTTTGGAGGCAAGAATGATGACATTTTGCCTCACATACTTGGGGCATATTGCTATTCTTTGGAGAAGGGCATGATGTTGGAAAGGGTGGAAAGTCAACAAAGGAGAAAAAGAACATCAACTAGGTGGATTGACACAGTGACTGCTGCAATGGGCCCTTGTTTGTCAGGAAGTGTGAGGATGGTGCAGGATAGAACAGGGTTCAAATCTTTTGTTCATAGGGTCGCTATGAGTTGTACTCAATGGCACCTAACAACAACCACCACTACATGCATTTGTGGAATGGAAAATGAATAAGGATGACAGAAAAAGTATTATGTCTTTGAGCTGTCATGTTGGAGAAGAGCATCCCATGGACGGCTAAGAGAATGAACAAATATGTCTTGGAGAGGGCGCAGCCAGAGTGTTCTTTGGAGGCAGGAATGATGAGGCTTCACCTCACATACTTTGGGTATGTTGCTTTTGTTGTTGCTGTTATGTGCCGTCAAGTTGCCTCATAGTGACACTATGTACAACAACAGCTCTGAGCTCTGCCCTGTCCTGAGCCAGTCTCACTGATTCTGACACACCAACCCCCATTGCCCTAGTTACTGTATCAGTTCCTCTCATCCAGAGTCTACCTCTCCTGCACTGTTGCTCCATGCTTCTGAATATGATATCTTTCCCCAAAGATCAGTTCTTCCCAGTCACTTCCCCAAAGTATGTGAGAAGGAGCTTCAAAATCCTAGCCTCCAAGGAGAAATTTGATTTCACCCTCTCCAAGATATAACTATTTGTTTTCTTGGTGGTCCATAGTATGTTCAAGACACCACAACTCAAAGGTATTGATTCTGTCATCCTTAGTCATTGTCCAGCTTTCTGATGCATAGCAAGTTATTGTGAAAACCATGGCCTGGATCAGGTGCACCTTAGTCTCTAGAATGACATTATTTCTTCTCAGGACTCTGGAAAAGTCCCTGACAGCAGATTTTCCAAGTGCAATCCATCTTTTGGTTTCCTGACTGCTGGTACCAAGAGTATTGATTGTGGAGCCAAGCAAGCTGTAACTGTTAACAACCTCAATCTCTTCTCCATTCATCATGGTGCTGCCTATTGGCCCAGTGGTTAGCATTTTTGTCTTCTTGATGTTGAGTTTCAATCCATTTTGAAAATTATAGTCCTTGACCTGCTGCAGCAAGTGCTTCAGGTCTGCCTCAGTTTCAGCCAGATTGTGTCATCTGTATAACTTAGGTTGTTGATTTGTCTTCCTCCAATCCTGATGCCACATTCCCTGCTTCCTGAATGGTCTGTTCTGCATATAAATTGAAAAGGTATGAAGAAATGATGCATCCCCGATGCACTCCCTTCCTGATTTTGAACCATGCAGTATTTCCTTGTTCTGTTCTGAGGACTGCTTCCTGGTACAAGTATAGGCTTCGCATAAGCACAATCAAATGTTCTGGGATTCCCATTCCCGTGTTGTGATCCACACGGTCAAATGCCTTTGCATAGTCAGATATTCCAAAGACAGATAGATATTCCTCTAGTACTCTTTGCTTTCTGCCAGTATACATTTGACATTGGTGATAAGTCTCTAGTGCCATGGCCTCTTCTAAACCCAACTTGTGTTTTTGGTAGTTCTCTGTCGATGTACTGTTTCAGTCGTTTCTCGATAATCTTCAGCAGAATTTTGTTTGCATGTGATGTGAGTGATATTGTACGATAATTTCCACTCTGTCAGGTCACCTTTTTTTTGGAATGGGAATAAATATGGATCCCTTCCAGTCAGTTGGCCAAGTAGCTGTCCTCCAGATTTCTTGATACAACCTGGTGAGCACATCCAGGGCAGCATCTGTTTGTTGAACTATATCATTTGGCATTCCATCAATTTCTGGGGCTTTATTTTTTCCCCAAGTCCTTCAGAGCAGCCTGAACTTCCTCATTTATCACCATTGCCTCTTGAACATGTTCTTTCTTGAAATTCTTCTGTGTCAGCCGATTGTTTTTGGTGCAGTGACTCTATATACATCTTCCATCATCTTTTAATGCTTCCTGGATCATTCAGTATTGTATTTATAGCAGTATTGCAACTCAAGGCTGAAGTTCTTTAGTCTCTTCAGCTTAAGAAACGCCAAGTGAGTTTAGCCATTTTGGTTTTCATACTCTAGTTTTTTCACATTTCATTATAATATGAAATACTATATGAAAATAAATGTTTATTTTTGCTTTGGCTTCTCAATGCTCTAGTGCAATATTCAGAGTCTCTTCTGACATCCATTTTGGATTTTGTTCTTGTTCTGTCTTTGTAATGACCTTTTGCATTCTTCATGGACGCTATTTTTTACATCCTCCCACAGCTCATCTGGTCTTTGTTTATTAGAGTTCAAGGCCTCAAATTTATTCCTGAGTTGATTTTTAAATTCAGGTAAGACAGACTCAAGGTCAAATTTTTATTCCTGTGGATTTGATTTGACCTTCTTTAGCTTTTATTTGAACTTGCATATGAGGCTATTCCTTGGAGAAGGATATGATGCTGGGAAGGGAGGATGGTAGACAAAAGAGAAGCCCTTCAACCAGGTGGATTGATACTATGACTGCTGCAATGGGCTCTTATGTGTCAGAAAGTGTGAGGATGGCACAGGATAGAACAGGGCTCAGATCTTTGTTCATAGGGTCGCTATGAGTCATACTTGACTCGATGGTAACTAACAACAGTGTTGCATGATTAGCTCTGTTGGCATACTCTATAGGGCTTTGTGCTATAAACTTAAGGCCAGCAGCTCTCTGGTAGTCCAAATCCACCCTTGCCTCTGTGGGGAAAAGATAAGCAGCCTCCTCCTGTGTGATTTACAACCTCCAAAAACTCCCTGGGAAGTCTGCTATGAATCAGACCCAACTTGGTGGGCAATGAGACAAGCGTTATTGTATGACCTCATTTATACCAACTGATAAAAATACACAAATGTAGAGCAATTTATGTTTGTAATAAAGTGTAAATCCTGTTAGTAGTTATCAGAGAAGAGTGAAACAGAGGACTTGTTTATAAAACATTGAATTTCTGGTTATGGTGATGGGAAATTCAGCATTGAGCAAGAGTAAGGCTTTCCTAGCCAATTAATATGATTGATGTCATAAACTTGTACACTTGTGAAAAGCTGAATTGGCAAATGTGTCTTATATATTTTTATTTCAACAACAGAACAAGCCACTAGCTATTGATGGTACATTTATATAACCAAATACCTCGTAGGATTCGATTTCTTGTTCTGAAGGTTGGTTGTGGTTTACAGGCTACATCTTGTTGTCCTTGATTCGTATAGGCTCCCCGCACACCAGAAAGATCCAATGCTTGCCTTGCAATCACTGCTGCACTGGAAGCCATTGTTACATTCAGTTTACCAATCCATCTTGTTGAGCATCTTTTTTTTATTACTGACCCTTTGTTTTAGCAAACATGATCTCTTTCCCCAAAGATTGGCCCTCCTGTTAATTCGCTCAAAGTATGTGAGACAGAACCTCACTAGTCTCACGTCTTAGTAGCAATGCTTCTTTAAAATAGATGCTGGTTTTTGGCTATCCTTTTACATTGAAAGTGTTTAGGGTCATAGTTTTACACGATGTCACAGCTAATTAGTCTAAGACCATTACCAGCGCTACTTTTCTACCTCCCAATGTATTATATTGTACCTGAGATCTAAAAAGCTTGCAGTCAGATTCACCTGGAGAAACAGAGGGAGAAGAAGAGTCAAGAAAAAAAGGAGAAAAAACAAAATGGGTGGCTAATTGCTTCCATGAATAATTGTCTTATTTTTGCCATGAGACTAGAAAGTCTGGATGGTGCCTGGCTCTCATTACTAAATATCAAAGATCAAAGTGTCTAAAGAAGAATCCTGATCAAAAAGAGGAAAGTATCATAGAATCCAGGCTTTCTGAAACATTGGAGACCAGATAAACACCCAAAACTACTGCCCTGAGATGATCTTTAAACTTTAAAAGAAAAATATCTCTTGAAATCTTCATAAAACCGTACAAGAGTTTGTTGTTGTTATGTACTGTCAAGTCACTTGTGATTCATAGTGACACCATGTACAACAGCTCTAAACCCTGCTCTATCCAGATCCAATCTTATTTTCTCTGACACAACTACCCCCATTACCCCAGTCACTGAATAAATCCATCTTGTCAAGGGCCTTCCTCTCTTGAACTGTCCCTCCATCTTCCCAAGCATGATGTCCTCTCCAAGAACTGGCCACTCCTTGCAATATAACCAAAGTATGTGAGACAGAGCTTCAGAATCCTTGCCTCCAAGGAGCAGCCCAGTTTCATCATCTCTAGGACAAACCTGTTTGTTCTCCTAGCAGTTCATGGTATATCCAACACTCTTCTCCAGCATCACAGCTCAAAGGCATCAATTCTAATTTGATCATCCCTAATCATTGTCCAGCTTTCTGATGCATAGCAAATAATTGTGAAAACAATGACCTGGATCAGGCACACCTTAGTCTCTAGACTGATATTGTTGCTCTTCAACACTCTGGAGAGGTCCCTGACAGCAGACTTTCCTAATGCAATTTGGTTTTTTATTTCCTGTCTGCTGTTACCAAGAGTGTTAATTGTAGAACCAAGCAAACTAAGCTGTTAACAATCTCAATTTCTTCACCATCTATCATGATTCTGCCAATAAGCCCAGTGGTGAGAATCTTTGTTTCTTGATGTTGAGCTTCAATCCATATAGAAGGCTGCAGGCTTTGACCTTCTGTAGTAAGTCCTTCCAGTCCTCCTCAGTTTCAGCAAGTAAGGTTGTGCCATTTGCATAATGCAAGTTGTTGATGAGTTTTCCTCCAATCTTGATACCACACTCCTCACAAAACCCAGCTTTCCAGATGATCTGTTCTAAATACAGATTTTAAAAGTATGGAGATAGGACACATCTCTGGCGAGTTTGTTTAATAACGAATAATGCCTTGAGTATTATGCTCTTTAAAAGACTCTGTACTTACCAGCTAGAAATATATCTTTGTCAAGTTTACAACAACAGCTCAAAAGACTACATAGAAAGCTTAGGAGGCAATGAGTTTAAATGAATGAGGGCAGACCACTGCAGAAAAATAGGTCGAGAATGACTGTCCAACTTGAAAAATTTAATAAATTTAATAAATGTCACTGAATTGTACATACAGAAACTGTTAAATTGTTGTTAGTTATCATCAAATCAAGTATGACTCAGTGACCTTATGAACAAAAAGATCTGAATCTAGTCCTGTCCTGTGCCATTCTCACACTTCCTGACACACAAGATCCCATTGCAGCAGTCACCGTGTCAATCCACCTGGTTGAGGGTCTTCCTCTCCTTCGCTGACTCTCCACCCTTTGCAACCATCATGTCCCTCTTCACAGAATAGGACCTCCTAGCAATATGTTATGCTCTATATATTCCCCAAACCAACAAAAATAAATAATTGTAAATATCATTTGACCTAAACTCTAAAGAAACAATATGGGTTGGGGTTTTTCTCATTTTTAAAAAGGAAATAATTACTTTCCTTTCCTTCATAATTTAATTTATATGAATTAATGAGTTACCTACTTAGATTACCTAGTGCATGTGAAACTGCAAAGAAAATATAGGCTCTTTATCATGAGGCAATAGCCATTAAAAAT